GGAAAGACGACGATTAATAAAAAATCGATCCGAGAGAGAGGGAGAGAGTAGTAGCTGTGAATTGAAACAGAAGGGCTTGACACAAAGGTGGAATTCTCGGAGAGACTGTACCTCTTCTTCAAGGGTAGTAGCCGGTGAAGGTGAATCCCCTGCCGACGATTTCACCTGCACAAAACCAAGCGAAGCATTCGAGTCCAAACAATGCAGCGATCCCTGCATCTTCCACCTTCAAGTCCCCTCTGTTCTTCCACAAGCTCTTCACCTGGTCTAATTCCTTCCAGAATGTCTCGTACTGCCCGGGAATGCTGCAATCGGATGATCGGTAAATAAGTGGTTAAACCCAAATTGGAAAATATGCCAAAGCCAAAATCTTGAACCTACATATTAACAACCATAAAGTGCTAGATTTGATTGGGTTCCAGCGTTTAAATCGATGTCCAAGGACTAACAAGGTCCTATCCACAACGAAGTGATATACAAAACAGATGAAGAGTACTATTATTAGTGGCGAGGCCCTAGCTTGTCTGACATTCACGAGTTGCCAAATGAACTACTAGAAGAGATAATCTTCGTAGAAGTCGAGCATCACAATCTTAAATGTTTTTAACCTAGGACAATGACTGAGCACGGAAAAACAGCTCAAAACAGAGGTAATGTAAGCATAACACAACATGAAACCAGTAAAACCCAGAAGAGAAACTAGACCTACAGCTCTAAGTGATGTTATATTCAAAGGAAGGATGAACTATATGTGGGTAATGTAGCAACTTTCTGCTAAAGTCTCAATCCCTTGAATTGAAAATGCAGAAAACAATGTATCGGGGAGAGATCTCTCGCAAATCTGAAATCTAGAAATATAGTTGCATAACCAATGCACCTAGGAAAACTCCCCAGAACAAGAGAGGAAGAGATAACAACCTAGCAAGACGGGTGTAAAGCAATTGCTTAGACAAATCGTTGCATTTCTCTACGGTAGCAGGCTCCTGAATATATTGCTTGTTCTGCTCCAACAGCTGCTTGTAGTAGGAAGTCCCATGCGTTGCCACAAACTTCGAAGCCTGGCATGCCTTTGCTTGAAGCTGTACCAACTTCGACGCCATGACGGGAACCAAAACTTTGACTGCAGAAAAATCTATCAGCAACCCAATTCAATTTTACTGGTTAAGGATGGAAGATGAGGGGATAAAGCTGCAAAATAGACAAGCTTATACCAACAACTGATGGTAATCAAAGTTCTTGACTTGCACTCTACGTTGACGTTTCAAAACCATTTCGTGTCTCCTCTACGAATTGAATAACCCAAAGTAGTCCCAGAACACGAAACATTACAAATTCAGTTCGCCCACGAAGTCAGAATGTTCCTCGACGCACTCGCATTGACCAATCTAGAAGGCTAAAACCTTAGTTCCCAATCACAGATGACAGATCTAAACGAACGAACTCTACTGGGGGATCAAAAACGCAAAACAAAACCCCCCCGAAAACTTGACCAAAGAAAGGCGAGTATTAGACGGAATCATCGGAACCCAACAACATAACAAGTACGAAGAAGGCGGATTTGAGAGAAAACCCCTAGAAATGAAAGACGAAACTGCGAAGAAAACAAAACAGAACTGAGAATACGAACAAAGAATCTATGATCAGAGGTATAATTACATTTCCGGCGTGCTCGTCGCGGAGTCTAATCGGAAAAGAAGCGACACCGGCGGACCAACGACGGCGCAGAGGGTGAAGGAGATGAGTTTTTGTTTTTTAACCTCAGCCTTCCCGAGCGTGATCAGCAAGCATGATTTAGTTATATCACATATATATATATATAGTGATGATTAATGAAGTTAAAAAATGGTAATTTAATATCATATTATTTTATTTCGATATAAAATTGTTCTAACTAAAAAATAGGTGTAGGGGAATCCAATAAAAATAAATACTGTTATAGCATCTTAATATATATAAATAAATTATTTTTTTCTATAAATACATTTTTATTTAAAATTAAATAAAAAATGGTAATTTAAAATCATATTATTTTATGTCGATACAAAATTATTCTAAATTTAAAACTAGGTAAAGGGAAATCCAATAAAAATAAATACTGATATAACATCTGAATATATATAAATAAATTCTTTTTTTCTATAAATAAATTATTTATTTAAAAATTAAATAAATATATGAGTTTTGAATTTTATTCAATTTTTAATATCATTAAAATATGATGCAAATATTTAAATTAGAAAAGCACAAACCGTAAATTATAGTTGATCTATATTTCAAATTTTTGGTAAAAACGAAAATATCTTGTTATTTTAATACAAATTTTGGTACTATTTTGAAATATTATGTATTTTAATGTATCTATATGAAATTATGAATAAAAATAATTTATTGAAGTTTTTTAAAACGTAATTGTAAATGGCATTTTTCGTAGAAAATGAAATTAAATGGAAACCGTTCTTCAGACGTAAACAACACCAAATAAACAAATCTCCTTTTTATTGTAACTGCATTCGAACGACACCGTTTTCCCTAAACCTGTTAAACGACGACGTTTTGCTCTGCCTGGGCATCTTGGGAACATCCTCCTTTCTCGGCCTCGTCTCCGGTAACAACGCCGCCGAGGCAACCAGCACTGATGAGAGTCTAGATTTTTCATCTCCGCCATTGACGTGCAAAAGCTTTTTCTCCTTCTCTTCAAAATCTGGAAAAAAAGTTTGAAGCTTTCCCCCATTTCTGACACGGGTTCGATTATGGCTTTTACGGATTTGTATAGTTGCAGTGTGATCTCTCAATTGTTTCAGATGCTACTCCTGCTGCTGAATGTGCGAATCTGTGATTACTTTTTTTTTTCCTCTCAAGCGAGAAAATTTGGGGTTTTCTCGAGAAACCGCGGGAAAAGCACCCTAAACCACACGGTTCTGGAAGATGTCGGTGCCACGTGGGTAGGCACCGTTGACCGTGAAATCTATGAAGCGAGTGGAGCGTACGATGTACGCGCCGAACGCGCGAGTGGGTAAAGAAACGCGCATTGAAGGGTGGTGGTGGGGATGAGGAAGAAAGCCCACATGGTGTCGTCGTGGCCCAAAAGCATCTCGTGTGTCCACGTGACTTTATGCCGTTAACTCAAACTAAAACCCGGTCCGACCGGGGTAAACCGGATTTTACTCAGAAACGGTTCTACTTTAAAATTCAATAAAATCTTAATTTTTTTATAATCATAAACAGGATATCTGTTTCTATTTGAAATGAAATGATTGGATAATTAGAAATGACTATTAATGGTAGTATAGATGAAATTTAGTGTGACGTTGATGAAAAGGAAAAAGTTACGTTTATGCACAAAAAGTTACGTTCATGACTTTCTTGTGTTGCAGATAACGAAAACCGAAATTATTTGGTGCCACCCCAAACCCAAACCGGTTTTATCATGCGACACAGAACCAAATCGAACCGAACCGAGATTCCTCTGTTTTCCGTATAAATCATTTAACAGTTTCACACTTCACATCATCTCTAACCACCGAAGTAGAAAACGAAAAACAGACTCCCACACTCTCAATTAAACTCACCCAATCCTCACAGACGCGGAGAAAGAGAGAGAGAGAGAGAGAGGTGCTGCAATGGCGGTGGCGAACAACTTGACGGCAATACTGAACTTCATAGCGTTGCTGTGTTCGATACCGATAACGGCGTCGGGTATATGGCTCGCCTCCAAGCCCGACAACGAGTGCGTCCACCTCCTCCGGTGGCCTATCGTTACCCTCGGCGTCCTCATACTCGTCGTTTCCGCCGCCGGATTCATCGGCGCCTACTGGTACATCTCTCCTTCTCTCTCTGCCTTCATATCTCTGCGTTTCTCGGATAAGAAAATTGGCAGACTTTTGGTACTTTTGATATTCTTGTTTGAGTGATTTAGCTCGTTGAATAGTGGAGCTCGAAGATCTGATTCAAAGAAAACTGAGAATTGTACCCATTTTTTCTTTCTGTGACACTGAAACGATTGTTTTTTTTTCAGTTTTAAATTTAGAAACAATTAAGGGACTTACCCATTAACGTTCTGGATGATTATAGATGTCAAAGATTGGATTTTTGTGACTAACAAAACTGGAAGTTCGCCCGCTTTTTATACATCTGAGGATCTTTTTCTCCAGTGAGTGGTTCAGGAAGAGAGTGACCCAGTAGGATCATGAACGATTACATATATAAAGATAGAATTTTTTTGGGCCAAAAGAACTGAGGAAAAAGAGAGAGAGAGAGAAGCATACCCAGAAAGGTTCCGAGCACAAAGATATCACCTTTAAGCTCGAACTTTCTCCTCCTTCATTACCCAGAAACAAAAAACCCTAAAATCTTCTTGTTGTTCGGACCAGGTACAAGGAAACCCTATTGGCAGTGTACCTGTGTTGTATGGCGATACTGATAGGGCTGCTACTGGTGGTTCTGATATTCGCGTTTGTGGTGACCCGACCCGACGGGTCGTACCCGGTGCCCGGGAGAGCCTACAAAGAGTACAGGCTGGAAGAGTTCTCGAATTGGCTCAGAGACAACGTTGTGGACTCTAAGAACTGGATCAAGATTAGGGCTTGTTTGGCTGATACAGATGTTTGTCCCAAACTCAGCCAAGAATACATCACTGCTGATCAGTTCTTCTCTTCCCCCGACATCACCCCTCTCCAGGCAAGCCCCCTCTCTCTCTCTCGATTCATTTGGTTGAGACTGTGAGTTAGATTGGAGGTAATAGTTCTTGGATGTTCTATGGTCAGATCAGTGCGGTTAGATCATTGGGATCAATCTTGTTTAGGGGATGCGAATTTGGAAATGTTTTTTTTTTCTAATTCCTAGGCTGTGGCTCTAGTGAAAGCTAAGTAAAAAGATGCAAATTCTCGAGAAAACAAAAAGGGTATGGGGTTGAGCTCTATAGCATAAAGTTTCAATCTTTATTTGCTTTACATTAGTCTAAAGAAAATTATTCTTATTCTCTCTAGCTATTCATCTCTCTCTCCTCTCTTTTGCTTTTTTAGAGGTTTTTTGAAGCTATTTTGTTGTTGGGTTTTTCAAAATTCTACAGAAAAAAGCTGAAAATGAACGTTTTTTTGTGTATATAATTAATATGCATAGTATACATTATTTTTAATTGGAAAAAATTCATAGTGTTTTGGGAGTAGAGACTAGAGAGGGAAACTGTGGTAGAAGATGCTGGAGAACAATAGAAACTGCTGGTTTATGAGATAAATCATAAATCTTACAATTATTAGGACCCACCAACCAGATTTTGTCTCTATTTTCAACAAAATGATCGAATATTTAAAAAAAAAATCAAATGGGTTTCTTTTATCTCTAATGACTAATTATTAATAATAAACAAAAGGATTGAACCACGTCTTTTTGTTTTGTCCTGATTCAGACAAAGCAATGTGGGTGTTGATAGTTGTCGAGGTTTTAAATAATTACATTTTGCAATTTCAAGTCTGTCTTCTTCTATGCCCACAAAGATTCAATGATTTCATCATCTCTCTAATATGCGTGTTTTATTTTTCAGATTTTTTTGTTTTGTTTTTAAAACTCTATTGTATAATCCAATTTTAAATGAGGAGAGATATGTAAACAGTATTTTTTTTAATGAAAAAAACAAAAAGAGGTTTTATTTTAAATTTTATTAAAACACGCACTATAGACTATCTAGGGTTATATAAAAAGATTTTGGACCAACTATCGCTCAATTATTAAGTAAATATAATGAGTTTGTGACCCTATTTGTTCTGGTAATAACTATTTATTATTTTTTATTTTTATTTTTGGGTAGGTTTGATTTTTTTATTTTAAATTTTTTTGGTTTAAATGATTATTTTAAAATTATGGTCGGTTAGCCTTTAGTTTTTTTATTAACATTATATTTATTTCCAATTTAATTAATTTTTGATAGAATAAAAGTGTATATTATGTAATCTGATTTCATATATAGATCGCCACGGGAGTCTGATTTGACTCGACTCAACAAACGTCAATTTGTCTCCGTATGTCAACATCGCATCAAAGTGCGTTTTTATCATTGTTTTCCACCCACAATTATTTATCCCACTTAACCTTAAAATAATATAAAATAAACCAAGAAATTCTAAAAACTTAAACAAGATCCTAAATTTTAAATTAGATTTATTTTCACGGTATTTTTTTATTTTTCAAAATCCTTCATATACGAACCAAAAATCCTATTAAAGTTTGGTCCTTTTTTTTATGCGTGTATTTCTAATTCCGAACGAGAAACTCTTTGTGTGAGTGGAACAGTCGGGTTGCTGTAAGCCGCCGACGGCGTGCGGATACAGCTTCGTGAACCCGACGGTGTGGCAGAATCCGACGAACATGGCGGCGGACGGAGACTGTTACATATGGAACAACGACCAGAGCCAGCTGTGTTACAACTGCAACTCGTGCAAGGGCGGCCTCCTGGGGAATCTCAGGAGGGAATGGAGGAAGGCTAACGTCATCCTCATCGTCACCGTCGTCGTCCTCATCTGGGTTTACCTCATCGCCTGCAGCGCCTTCCGTAACGCCCAGACAGAAGACCTTTTCCGCCGCTACAAACAGGGCTGGGTCTAACTCTGTTCCAACGGCTCTTGTCTCCTCTCTTGTAGATATACTTTGGTCTCAATTTTCTCTTCTTGTTCTTGTTTTAGATGCGCCGCTTGTATCTGAGTTTGGTTGGCGACCGGTTCGCGAACTCAACACAAATATTATGATACACAGAATTTTAAAATAGCTTGAATCTTGATTTTAAAAATTCTCAAGGTTCATTAGGTGATGACCAGATAGAAGACAGAACCGAATTGGTTAACCCGGTTTACGTCGATTTCTTGTAACCCAAAACCGGGTTGTGTCTACAAAGAAGGAAAAAAAACGCTGAATTTCAAAGACTGCCGGGCTAAATATGGATCTGTCTGGAGTCTTACCATCTCACAAAGACATTGCCTATGTACAGACAGACCTTTCCCGAGTCCGTGCAATGTTTGCTTAAGCCGAGGATAGTTTTCTCGAGTATACAACGTACATCGGATCCGAGCGTCCAGGGTTCGGGGATATATCCACAGCCTGGAAACAAGTTCATGCAAAAAAAAAAAAAAAAAAATCAGCGTCGAAGAAAAGAGTTGCAGCATGGATGGATGGAATGTGCAGAGATAAGTTAACCTTAGGAGGTTCATATCCTCCGGTGTAATGGAAATACGATCCAACGATCACGGCGTGATCAGAATCACCGGTTGATGTCCATATCGAGATGGCCTTAGTCCAGAAACAGCGGTTGGAAAAGCTGTACAAACATAAATCAAAACCGGACTTTGAAACCTCGGGTTTGTTTCCATGCTATGAACAACGAAAGATTCTCCTTGGGAAGATAACGGAAAACCTCATCAGAGCAAGTCCTCCGGGTTTGAGGATTCTGCTCATTTCCTTGAATACTTCGAGTGGCTTCGTAAGATAGTCCACGCTAACCTACAACAGGAACCAAAAGATTCGGATTCGGATTCAGATTCATACCAAAATAGCAAATCTTTAAACAGATTTTGTAGATACATCGTTTTTTGAGACATGCCGACAAGGTTAGACGTAACTTACCACGTTTGTAATCACATCGAAAGTGTTATCATCGAAAGGCAGATTCGGGTTGAGGTTTAAATCTTGGACTACATACTCGGTTAGAACCTGATGAGAAACAAGAAATTGGTTCAGTTTCGCGGTTCCATGTTCCTTAAGTTGTGTTTTTTTTTTCTAACACTTGGATTGAATGTGTCTTGCCGGATTACGCTTAAGCTCTTCTTCGTTCATGCCCATTCCAACTATTCGTTCTTGCTTGTACCCGGCCGGATAATGGCTGACCTATACGGTCACACATAAAGAGTCATATCATGAACATATATATCACAAAACGATCGATATTTATGAAGATTCACACAGAGATCGGAGATTTGTTTTTCCGCACCCAACTGCTACACATGTCGAGAATGCTCACTCCCGGAGTATTGCTTGTAGGCAGAACCCGAGAGTAGTACTTTGTCAATGCAGCTATGGCCGGATCGTCAATGTGTGTCACAAACCGTGGAGCATCATAGAACAGCGAATCAGATGACCTGAAAAAAGAAACAAGTTGTATGCTTTGGCTTTCACTCTCCTTGATTACTCAAACCCCCCGAAAAGGGTACCGAAAACTCGGAACCTTGGGCCATAATATATGAATGTGATGAGTGTACAACTAGCTGGCTCGGCTCAGTCCAGACCAACCCCAACCAGCTCAACCCGTTTTTTAACGAGTCCAGAAAATCTTAAACCAACTCGCCAAAAAAATCGAAACTTGGGGACATAAGATATGAATGTCACTCCAAACTAGCAATAGGAACATACAAATCTCAAGCCAACCATACAGTTCACATATGTTCGCGGAGGACAGAACACAAACACTGGTTCGGGTCGAAAGAATCTTTACTCGTCGAATCGCTGGAAATCTTCGTCCTTGAAGGGGAAGCTGTCTGGCCACTCCACGTTCTTCAAAGCCTGCATTTGACAAAAGGGTTTGTGATCAGAATCTTCCATAACATTCTCTCTTCCACTAGTTTCAGATTCCAATTTCATTTCTTCATCAACAAGCTACACGATTCATACTCCAGTTCCTATAGACCAAAGTAACCGAACTTATTCACTGCAGATTCTTCCAGAAACTCCATCTCATTCACTGCAGATTCTCCAAAACCCCAAAATCACAGATTTTTCATGAGACGACCCGACAACCAAACAGGAAGAAACAGAGACACACACCTCTTCGACGGGTGAAGGATTTGTCTGTCTCGCAGAAGCGACGAACGATTTCCCAGCGGAATTACCCGCCATGTTCATCCAGAACGAAACACCAACACCCAGAGCCAATCGCCGGCGGGAAGCTCGAGCCTTTCGGCCAAAAGTTTTAAGAGCACAGTCGGCGGCGGAAACTCCGATCGCCGGCGAGGAGGAAGAAGAATAAGGGACAAGGAAAGTGCCAAAGGAGAGAAGTGGAGGGAGAGGTTTGGATCCGAGGCCGAGAAAAAAAGCGGTTTTCGACATAATCGTAGTTCTTGGGTTGTGTCTGGTTTTGTTTGGGCTTCGAGGACAAAAAGAACAGAGCCGATAGATTTGTCTTTGAAGATGATCCAAAGTCAGTGATCCAAACAACTCTTACGTGGCCGCAACAATTCCCCAAATGAGCAATTTGGGTTTTCCTGATATTCATATAATTTTTGGGGTGAAATTGTAAGAAAATGGAATATAAGAAACAAGATTTCATAGTACATATGTTTTGGTTGGTTGGTAGGTAATAAAACGAACTTGGTTTAATTATCATTTTACTCTGAAAATGTATTATATTGTATGGGTGTTTGAATTCCAAAATTATAACGTTGAAAGTATCTCCACAAATATTTGTAAATGGAAGTTTTGGGGGTTTTCTGATATTCATATAAATTTTGGGGCGAAATTGTAAGAAAATGGAATCTAAGAAACGAGATTTCCTAGCACATAGTGTGGTTGTGCTTGTGCCTATGGTGAGGAAGTAAAATAAACTTGGCTCATAAGCATATACATCGGAAATGTATATGTTATATTTGTGGTGGAATTTCAAAATTATAATGTTAAAGTGTTTCCAAAACTATTGCGAATATTACCATGGAATTTTGCTCGATATCAAACTTTTTTTTCTTCCAAAACTATTGCGAATATTAAAATTTTAAAATAGATAAAGGTATGTACATTGTGTAATCGTGTTCATAGATATTTTTGTCGTATGGGTTACAACGTCAAAAACATGTTCTTGTCTCCGTCTTAATAATTGTCGCAAGTGCCAAATTACGAGGCCACTATCTTATGAACTCATTGACGTTGACTTGTTTTATTGTTTGTGTTTTTAGAGATAAATACTCTTACATAAAAAAGACACCAAGCTTTATGGTCCGTGGACGTATAAAATTCATATATTTTATTGATTTATATAAATCATATCCAAACATTATATAAAATGGGCGGGTCGGGCCGGGTTCGGGCCGGATTCAATTCGGGCCTAGAATTTTTCGGGCTGGGTCGGCCCGCCCATTTATTTTTCGAGTCTAGGATCGATGGCCCGGAGCCCGGCCCTACAGGGCTTCGGGCGGGTTCAGACCGGGCTTCGGACTTTTTATTAAATAAAAATATTTTTTGCGATAATAATAATAATATTAATATGAAACCTTCAACAAAAATATTTTTAAAACCGATAACAACAAAGTCATTTAGTTCACAAATAAAAATCGCACACAGAGTACTTTTCAAAACTAGTTTTGTTTTTCCAAAAGCAATGCAAGGATCTGAGTGCAATGGTGTTGGACACCCTAAGGTAAGATCCAGCATAATTCTCTCAGTTTCATTTTCAATGGCAAAAAGCTCTTCTTCTGAGGATTGTCATTTTATTGTTCTTAAAGGAGTCCATCCCCAGACTCGAGGACAAAACTTCTTGCTGCCACTGATGGGATCGAGGACGCACTGTACTATTTTAGTGATGTTATTTCCGCTGGCATACCTGATATCGGGAGGCTGATAACAGACCACATTCTGCAGCATCTAACTCTCCCACTAATTCTTCCGTCTTTGTGCATTGAGACTGTTAATGTACATGCCCCTTTTTATTTGTTGAATTCTTTATTCCTTTTAAATTATTTAATTTATTTTTTTGAGTCTTTAGGCTTTATGGTGTATGATCCTACAATCCTAATTTGGTCTACTTTTGGTTTCTGGGTAATTTCAGGATATCCCAATCGACCCGGTCACTTCCCTTTATCTGCTTTGCTGCATCTTGCGTGTAGTTAAAATCAAAGATTTGGCAAATACAACTGCTGCTGCTCTTTTCTGCCCCATAAAGGCGTTCATTTCAAGGTCTCACGCTCATGAAAGCTCTACACTTGGAAATCAACATCAAGGCAATGGTATTGCTGAGAAGAAAATTAAGCAATGTTCAAGCGTTGCAGTATCAAGCGAGGGCATTGATTCTCACAGTTGCATTGAAGATACTGAGAAAAGTAACTTCAACAACCCACATTTGACGTTGAGGTAATGTTTTAGCTTTTAGCACCTCCAGCCTAGAAAAATATCATGATGTTTTCACTGTTTAAGGGTATTATGTTGTCCTGTGGCTTATTCTGTATTCACAGCTTTAGTTGATGTCTTTTGTAACTAGGGAGACTTTGCTTCAGTATATTTCAGAAGGGGATGAGGTAGAAGCGGTGGGTTCTTTATTTGTGATGGCCACTTTGTTGCAAACGAAAGGTATTGTCGTTGGCCTTTCTCAAGAACTCTTTCTTTTGGGGTTTGAACTTCTTACATGCTGTTCAATTTTGTAGAACTCGAAGAATCAATGCTTGATGCCTTTGGCATTCTTCCTCAGCGTAAGCAGCACAAAAAACTTTTGCTGGTGAGTTGCTGTTATTGATATCAGTGTTGTGGTGCAACCTGTCTTGTCCAGCATGTCTCTAATAGACAGGGTTATATTCAGTAGTTTCGATTTTAAAGAATTACAGTACCTGCCTGTCAGGGGTCCTTAAACCACTTTTGCTCGAGCACTTGTAGATGGCATGGATTGAAGTTTATATTTTTTTTCTTCCTGCCGGAAAATACCTCTTGTTTAATTGTTTTCCCTGTTCATTTCTATTAAAATCTTAATCTGGTACTTATTTCCTACAGCAATCTTTGGTTGGTGAGGCCTCTGGTGAAGAACAACTCTTTTCACCCGAAAATGGGTCCATGAGAGATGGCACAAGCAGTGACATTGATTTGTATTTACAGAAGTTGGAGGTACTCTACTGCATCTTAATTTTCCCTTGACAGTTAACTCCTCCCTCTTCATTTCAATCTTTTGAATGTGTTAGTTTGATTTACTTCTTCCTCCAACTATGCCCAACAGGAGCAATTTGGATTATGCTGTTCACTGCCTGGGGTAGGAATTAACCCCAGTGAACATAGAAATCAGGTATATCACCTAAGTTGGTAAAATTATTTAAAATCTAAGCATTGTATGCATGAGTAGGTTGCTATGCAGTGAATGAGACTTGAAAGGATAACAAATAAATCAAACTTTTTTTGGCCTGACCTTCCTAGATTGAAATTTCCCAAATGCTCGTCTTAGTTGACTAATGTATATTGTCTAGGTGGTGGACGCATTGGTCAATCTTCTCTGCCGAGAAAACATATCTGCTGAAACACTGTGGGATGGTGGTTGGCTTTTACGTCAATTGCTTCCTTACAGCGAGGCAGAATTTAATTGCCAACATCTTGAGATGCTGAAGGTATGTCGCTTTCAAGATGTTTTTTTTATTGAGCCCCACTTGTTTATCCTCTCTTTCTATTATTCAGATTCCTTATTCAGCATTGCAATAACGATATGTCGATATTACAATGGTCCGGACAGTTTTCATATGAGAAATGCTCAAGCGCACTTATTCGGGAAATTAAGGGTACCTGGTCTGATCTACTCATCCCAGTACTGCTTGATGAGTGGAAAAAGTGCAAAAGAGGCAAGTATAAACGTTAAAAGCGGTTTTCAAATACAGAGAATATATTCATTGTGTCTAATACTAAATCTCTTTTTGACAGTGATTGAAGCTCCATCACCTCGAAAAGAGCCTAAATTCATTCTTCTCCAGCTGAACAAATCTTCTTCTGATGGTAGAATACTCTTTGTCCATTTCCTTCTTCTCTGATCGTGAATGATCTTTTCCCTCTTCTGTTTATCTCCCTCATCAAACCTTGTAAATCATTCACAAATTGGGAACTTTGTGCAGATAACGTTGTTAGCGAATCATCATTCACGGCCGGTGAAAGAATGTGCGAGTTGGTAAAGGTTCGTCCAGTGAATTGCTCTCTTAACCAAGGCAGCATGTGTGGTTGAGATATCTGATAAATCTAACCTCTTCTTTCTTAGGTCTTTTTGCTTCTTCATCAAATCCAAATCTTCTCGCTTGGTAGGCCCTTGCCAGAACAGCCTCCAACCGATCCACCTGAGATGTCCCTCGCTACAACTTCTGGTTTGGATGTTTCAGTCCCGAAGCCTGGCACCGAACTGAAACTAGGTTAGTTCTTACAACTGCATGATCTACTTACAAGACTGTTAATGCCGGATGTGAAAGAACGTTAATATTTTTCTTGTACAATTCCATTTAATCTTGCGAATAACAAAAAAATAAACTTGTTCTGTTGATTGAGTTCTTATCATCTCAGGAGGGAATCATTCTCATCTTTTGGGTTTGTTCTATTCAGGTGATGCAGTGCCCTGTAGGATTGCCTTTGAAAGAGGCAAGGAACGGCACTTTTCCTTTCTAGCATTCACATCCGGGTTATCCGGGTGGATCGTCCTTACTGAAGAATCGCCTTTGAAATCAGATTACGGGATTGTCCGTGTCACTGCACCTTTAGCCGGATGCAATGTAAGTACTCGCTTCTATCGTCCTTTAGGTAATATACATGTGAAAGGGGTGGTTTAAATACAAAATTTAGATTTTTTTTCAAAATATATATCATATATTAGGAGTTGGTTTGGGTCAGCTAACCCGAATCCGAAATCAAGAGATTCAATAGGTTTGTAATATATATAAAACTTTGGGGCAACAAATTTTTTTACTGTTCATTCAGGTATCCACGGGTAATACCGTGATCTCAGACCCAATTGCCCGAATTCAAACCTGATTTTCGGGTTTTGGCCACATTATAACTCGATTTCATCTCATATAGTGTTCGGGTGTCTGAATCAGTTTTTTTTTGCCTAGCCCCACGTGAAAGATCACGCATATATGGCATTTACAAAGATATCGACCATTATATTGTACATGATCACACAATAATTTCTCTTTCGTGTTTATCAGCCTCGGATAGATGAGAAACACCCTACATGGCTACACTTGAGAATCCGTCCATCCGCCTTACCATTCTTGGATCCAGCAAAGCGTGGAGTCTATGAGAAGCTCAAGACGAAAGGTCTGGTCGACGGGAGATGGACATTGGCATTCACGGATGAAGTATCTTGTAAATTGGCTTACTCCATGGTCGTGGACGAGATCTGTAGACAAAGCAACGAGGTCGAAAGAAGATTAAAACCATTGCTCGAGCTCGAACAAATTCAAGACCAATCGAACCTTGCATCCGATTCTTCCTCTTCTACTTCATCATCACCACCGTCTTCGGGCTGAGCTCAGAATTCGGGTATTGAACTTTGGTCCCTACTTGTAAATGAAATATTTGAAGCACCAGTATTTAGAGATATATCCATAGAGTAGTGTTTCCATTGTTCTTTCCTTCACCTTTTAAGTTTGGGTGCCTTATTTTGCAAGTTATCATTCGTTCACCACTTCGTCTCTCTAACCCTAGAGTTCGTGTTTCTGTTTCCTGTTGGGCTTTTTTCCTGCTCCCTTTAATAATTTTTGTATGTTTTTTTGTATCATCATTGTATATTTGATGCAGTTTTATAGTGATTTTTCCTCTTCATATATATATATATATATATATATAAAGATGGTCTAATTTATTGATTCACTTCTGATGTATATTAATTATTTCAGTGACTTCATATTATCATATTATTTTAGTATTCAAATGAGATTTGCCTACATAATTTTTTTTAACTCAAAAGTAATCAATTACGCGGTCACCCGAGCAACGAGTCTACAAGGTCATGCGGCCATGTCATTACCAAGAAAGCGTGATCTTAAGCTTCTGTCGGGAAAGTTCCAGTGGTTTCGGAAGTGTTTGTAGCAACTGAAATACGCGTATGTATATGGCCGGTAAAGTAAAAACCATAGCTAAAAGTTCCCAAAAGGAAAATGGCATAGCTACTCACATATACCATGTATGATATATGACAAATTGTACACATGTTATTTTGGTTCCAAAGGGTAAACCTTATGTACTCTGTTTCAAACAAGATATCAACCCTAAGACCAGACATTTTTCATTTCTTTAATCTCAAGGATAGGTATGAAGAAAAGGGTTGCTATCTGTCTAATCTAAGTTGTGGAAGCCAGGGAGAAGCGACGTTATAAAGCCAAAGACGATCATCTGAATCTCTTTGACGATTCCCCACCATTGGTTTCCCACTTCTGCTTCAACTGGATTCTCATTCTCATTTGCTCGGTTCCCGTTATCCGCATGCTGAGCTTCATTCTCTTCTCTACCTTGTCCTTCTGCACATAATGTAACAGCTTCAGTTAAAATGTATATGACGATGGCTTCAGATAATTCTCCTAAAAATTTGTCTTCCAAAGCCGAGTTCGAGCATAACACAGGTAGGCAATGAGATATCATGATATGAAAAGACCGAAATTTTAAGGACTTAAAAGGTTGTATAGCAACGTCAAAGCCATGAAAGATGCCAATATAGTACTAAGGCCAGAAAATGATAAAATCTTCAAGTGTAATGTTGAATATGCATAATATATATATATATACCCGGAGCAGCATTATCGTTCTGTGGCCTTGCAGCTGCTGGATCATTATCAGCTCTTAGAGCAGGTCTTTGATGCCGTGGTGCAGCTGCTGCCCTCTGCATGCCTTGGGAAAGCCATTGAACTAACGGAGTAAGTGCTCCAGTTTGGTATCTGTCAAATTCAACAGTCAAAGCATTTAAGCTTCTAACTTTACTGCTTCTGAACATAAACCAACTAAAAGCCTCAAGGCCTTCAGCAATTGCCAAGGCGGATGTTCAGCACTGATTCCTTGTCATACTCTAGATCCCACGGTTCTTGAAGAGAAATCTAACAGATTTTTGAGACTTACAAGTATATAATTGAAGCGAAAAACACCAGAACGGCTAGCCTTTGCCTTGATCCATCTTGGTTGAACAAAAAGATAACAGCAGCCAGCTTGAGTATGAGAAATAAATCAAGCTGGAACGCTATCTGGAATCTCCTTACAACGACTTGTCTTTGATGAGCAGGTTCTTGCTGCTGACCCTGTTGTTGTTGCCCACCTTGTGCATGTTCATCACCCCCAGTCGCAGCCTCATTACTTGACCTCGTGCTATAAGAAACAAAAGTCAATTACCAAAACCATAACCACGCTCATACACCTCTTTAAACTCACCAATGACTCGAAAATCTGATTTAAATTTGGACACACACTTGATGAACTGCTCGTATTATCAACTGGGTTAAACTCATAAAGTCCATGCTTAAGTGACTACCTTGTCATCCTCTCAAAGGGCATTGAACTGGAATCTAGTATCCAATTCTAGAGAAATCCAAACCGGTAATTCTGTTCGGTACATAGACGACCCAATGATCCTAACAAGCAATACTCGGTACGACACGATATTCTTAAGATCTAGCATAAAATTCTACAATATTTTTGTTCCGGGTAAGGAACCTGGGAATGAGAAGCTTAACACCTCAATAGAGAGGTCACACAGAACGGCAACAGCAATATAAATTATTAAAGGTAATTCACCAAACTCATGAAAGATGGAAGAAAACTACTTACGTTGGGATATTGTATGTAAGCGGGATAAGGTTATTAGAAGGAAGACCAGCAACATGTCCTGTAAAAGGAAGGACAGGGACCGCATAGATGCCAGCTCCTCGGTTCGTCTGTTCCTCGTACTGCGTTGGATTCATTCCAGGAGCTAGAAAAGGATACCAAACCGGATACATCGGGAAATCCCCATTTGGATAAGTTTGAAACCCAGAAGGCGCTGAAGCCTGGAAAATCACACAAAATTAACTCAAGAATCAACACAAGATACAACACAAAGTTACTGGCTGCATTAAAAGATCGAATTGGCTCAAAATTAGGCAACGGAGCTCCAAATTCGCAAACCCTAATTGATCATATATTCCCAGATGGGCATGATCCAACAACAGAAACTAAAAGCCCTCTATCACTCATCATCAGATCAAAAGGCGGGGCATCGTAGAAATCGAAGAAAAGGATAACCAGGGTGAGAGATGTATAAATCGACCAACCTGGGATTTAATGTCTGCATCATCGGGTTTTGTGTCACCGGAAGATTGCTGTGAGGTTGAAGACGGCTCCTTTTCGGGTTCCTCCGCCATTATCAAAGGATCAAGATCTTCCTCAACACTCTTTTCTCTGTCTTCCTGAGTCCGCCAAAATGTCCTCCCCGTTCCTTCTGAGAGCTTTGGCGGCTTTGGCTGGGCGAACTACGTCGCCTCTTCGTCATCCCTCCAATGAATAACCGCCACGTCATCCGAGCTCGTAACATAGTTAGCAATTTGGATTATTGGAATAATGAAGATTAAAAATGGATTTCTTTCTGTATAAATAGCACATAACTTCCTATGCTTTTCAAAATATTAAAGACTTATTTCTTAAAATATATGAAATACTCTACTGCTAACTACTATATAAAAGAACAAAATAAAATAAAAAAATCGCAAGAAGTGTTTATTAATTATAATCAAATAATAGATCAATAAATATGGTGGGGCTCCGACCCGATTCAAGAATTTTACCCGTGGACTCTTCCCGATCCCCATTTTTCTGGGAAGCTAGGGTTTGCTCGGTTTCTCTCGATTCAGCGAATCGGAACCCACGGGAACACGACAATGGCGATGAGGAGGGTGTACAGTGAGATCAAGGGGAAGAAGGTGAAGGAGCTTCCGAGCTACTTCAAGCCGATGTTCTCGATTGAGAACGCGAAGAACGCTGTGAAGAGAGGTCTCGACAATTACAACGAAAAGTACATTCAGACCAGCTCCGTCGATCCTCTGCTTCATGTCTGTTTCGGTGGCATGATCTTATCGTACCTTGTTGCTCTTCCCCACGAGCGCCGCCACCTCGAGCACCAGCAGCATGCCAAGGAGCATGGCGGTCACTGATGCGGAGGAATCGTTTCGAGCCTTTCGTTTCTCGATGATTAGAGGTGTGTACAAGGATTGAATTTCAATTTCCTCCGATTATTCGTTTTGGTGTTACTGTGTGATCCTTGGGGATCCTAATTCAGAACTGTTAATCATCTAGATGATTTTGGTATCGGTAATTAAGTGTTTTACCTCTACTGCGATTCGGCACCACGTATTCGGTGATGTGGGATTTCATATTGGGGAAATTGATTAGTGCGATAGTGTAACAGTTTCTGCCTGTGTCCTCAAAGTGCCCGTCTTCATGAAGAAAAGGTTTGTCATGAATTCATCAAATCAATTTTTACTAACATGGCTCATGCTTTTGTTTTCCGTGCAGATTCGGTGGTGCAAAATCCTTCTTCGTTTGTGAAGATCGTGTTGCTCAATGTTCTTTTTTCAAATTTCCTGGATCTTGTTGACCAGAAATACCTTTGTTTTGAATTGCATTTCGTACGTAATAAAAGAAGCATGATCCATAAACAGTGAAACACTCTTTTGATTGCATATAAAAATTGTCGGGCATTTATTGTTATTGACATATTGAAGTACCGTTGCTTTATTCATTACCAGTTCAGAGCAGATCACAGACATTCCTTGATCTGCCATTGCTGACCACAAAAGGTATTATTCTCTATGCTTTATTTTGCTGGTCCAATCTTATGTGAGAATGAACTCCATTGGAAAGTTAGACAGCTAATTCAAGCGTAGGAGGCAAAGGCACCATCTGTAGCACAACAGCGTCAAGGGTGAGACCGGCTCCAAACCCGACCATGACTCCATAATCGGAACCTTCATTCCTCTGCTCAACCATCCTTTTCTTTACTTCATTGAGGACGAATAAGGTACTCGAGCTCATCATGTACCCATATTCTCTCCACACCTTCCTTGAAACCTCTAATTTGTCCTTATGTAGCTGCAATTCTGCTTCTATTCTGTCGAGCACTGGCTTACTTGTTGCCTGCATCACCCAGAACACCGCGTTCCAGTCTTTGATTGTGTCGGTGCCCGTATCGTGAAGCATTTTAGTCAAGAAGTCGTTGAGGTGACAACTAATGGCCGAGGCTGTTACCCGCTAACCCAAGGTAAGTAAATTCAGTCTGATCACAATCAGCCTAAAGTTAAAGAATCACATCTTGTAAGAGAGGAACACATTACCTATGAATCCAGGGACCTTTGTTCTTCTGTCCATTGAGAATCCATTCTCATTCACACGCCCACAGAGAGCCCCATCTGAATCCGGAATGATCGTTTGCGCCCCGCCCACTATCCGGAAAAATGGCCGTTCACATGACTTGTCCAGGTCTGCTCCCACGATGACTGCAGCCGCTCCATCGCCATAGATTGTCTGCATGATGAGATCCTCTCCATCATCCTCGCAAGGCAGTCGGAAACTCCCGATGGTCATGTCGCAACAGACAACAAGGACACGGGCTCGGTGGTTATTCTCGGCGATGTCCTTGGCGAGACGAAGGGCAGTGACCGAGACATGACAGCCCTGGTGGTAAAGCATGATCCTACGGATGGACGGGCTGAGGCCGAGGCTGACAGTGAGCCGAAAATCCGCCCCAGGCATGTGTATGGCCTGCATTGCGCAGAAGATGAGGTGGGTGATTTCCGATTTCGGCTGTCCCCAATCTTCGGTCGCTCTCAAAGCCGCCTCCCTCCCGAGCCTCGGGATTTCCGCCTCTGATATCCTCTGCCGGAGCTCCAGCGATGGAGCATTGTGGTCCACAAGGCTCGGGTTCTCTCTCAGGATGTCCTCCGTGAGATGCAGGTAACGCTTCTTGATTCCTGTTTTCTCACCTGCTCAATATACGAGATATGTATACACATACACATACACATACACATACACATACACATACGTGAGGCTATATACATATATGAGATCTTATAAGTAGATAGAATAATAGGAAATGAAGAGAAACTCAACAGAGAGAGGTGAATCTGTGCTTGAAGTGGGTCAAATGGTTAGAGCCGGTGACTCTGAAGCAGAAGTCAGGGTAGTCTTCTTGAGTGATGCAATTAGGAGGATTTGCTGTCCCTATCCCTAGAATTGCCGCCATCCTCTTTTTTTTTTCTATCTATCTCTCTCTCTCTACATGTCCATGGATGGATGTGTCTGATCTTTTTTTTATACAGCTTTTTGATTTCAGGGTTTTCCTCCACATTGCGTCATCGTCTTCTAGCGTACAGGGACGTCTAACGAATATCTAAATTAAAAAAATAAAAGTAAATAATTTAGCCATATGCAACATCGTGTGTCTTCTGACTTGACATCATCTAGTCTGATGCCTAGATGTCGAGTTAGCATAATCTGATTTCCTATAGTATTAGTATAGTAATGTCTTTTTAGATAACTGCGGTCATAAGATATATAAGAAAGGGTTTATAACAAATAAGATTATGATTTCAGCTTTTTGCCGTTTATAAGGAGGTTGTTTAGAATCGAAAGGCATAATTTATATATAATTTGTGTTTGGGCATGGATTTTGGTAACGAATGTGTAATTCGATTTCCAAGCTACGGCTGACAAAAAAAAAAAATCGAAATATAACACGAGTGCGAGAGGTCGTCACGGCAAAAACCACACAAAACCAGCACGTCTTTTGGCACATTGGTTTGGTACGACGAAATACGTCAAGTCTCTTACATTGCTTTTGGGAACCTCTCGATATTAATTATACTAAATGGTAGAATTTTTGTTTTTGTTTTGGTTGCTGGGACGGTACACGATGTGGTGCCTTGTGGGAACACTCCTTGCATGTGATTCTCAGATGTTGTAACTTTACATGCATACTTCCAAAAACCTAATCTACGCTCGTAATATTTAAAATATAAATATATCCGCGCGCGTGATTCCTTTGGCACAAGGTATACAATAAAATTTAAAGCTTTTCATTTGAACATTCAATATGTATCATATTATCACTCTTTTTCCCGATCTTATCATCATAGGTTTGGTTTCGTATTTCTATGCTGTTTACAATGTTTTTTTTTGTTTGCTTTCGATAATTCTCGCTTTGATACACCATATAATATGTATATATATATAGTTTATGTTTTTTTGTCATGTAATAATTTCACTAAATAGTTTCAAAAAAATATCTTTGTTGAGTTTGTGTTGATGAAACATGTTTTTTTTTAGGAAAAACGCGTTTTATGAATTGATAAAAGGGTTTTTTTTAATCAAACATAATAATTAGTTACATTGGTCCTCAAATTATAAATTTAATTAATATATAACTTTTCACCTTTCATCAATTAAGTCAACATCCTTTTCTCTCTTTACTTTTCTTTTCCCCCTTTTCCGTCAATCTCATTGTTGATTTTTTTTTTATAATTTAAATTAATTTATAAAAAGGTAAATTAATATTAATTATACATCTCTTTCTAATAATATTAAACTAAATTGTATAACCATCCGTAGTTATTATCATTGTATCACCATTTGCCCATCTAGGCCGCTTCTAACCATTTGCCACCACAAAATTATTATATCACCATTTAGGGTTATGATTTTGTTACAAAGCTGTACAATATTACAAAACACAATGTATCATGCCTTTTTTTAACATATATTATTCTAATAAATCTCTCAAATAAAAAATACATTAAAGTAGCAAAATTATGTTTTAGGGTCTATCATATGCAAGGAATCATCATTGCTATTTTTATGAAAATGCTGCGTCCTTGAAGTTTCTTAAATTTTCCACTTTGAAAAACTTTGTGACAGTGAGAAAGCTACAAAAAAATTTAAGGTATCTTCGTTGACTCATTTTCTAGGCGTGTTTCTAAGATTTTTATTTTATTTAATGCGGTCCAACTTTGTTGAAGGAAAATTGCCCCATATACTAGAAAACATACATAAAATACGCCACTTTTGAATAATTGTCTAAGACATTTACACCTATGACCAAAGTTGAATACTCAACAATCAAATAAAAGTTGCAAAACATATTAGTATTGCGAGTGCAAATATATTATTTTTTAAAAAAAAATTATTTTTGAAAAAAAAGTGTAATCATGTTATCCTTAATTTGAAGTAATTGAAGAATCAAATAGTAAATTAAAAAAACACGGATCTAATTAAAAAATACAAATAAACATCTATTCAACCGCACAGTCCGTCGAGGGCAATATCGTCATGTTACATCGACTTCGGACAGTTTGCGCGCGAATTCGCCCTCTCCTCCCTCCTATTTTGTATTTTCGGACATGTATATAATAAATCCACATGTAGAAAGTTCTTTACAAAAATAAAAATATTATCAATACGAAATTTCTTACATATAACTGCTGTGTCGATTTTGGGATATAATTTCAATTTAATATTAGTATCCTGTACAGTTTTCCACTACAAATTTTCGTTATACTAACGTTTATTTATATATTATAATTGTATGATCTTTAGATTTTCACCATTTTATTAGAAAATATTATTTACATAATGTAATTATTATATATAAATGGGACCTCCATCATTTCCGGTTTGTTGGATGCTTGGCACTGAAAAATAATTGATAGTAATAATTAAGTAAAGATAAAAACCCTAACGACCTCACTCCAAATCCACACACGCACTCTCACTCACTGAATCGCTGTAAAATCTCTCGTTTATCTTCTTTCTTCCGCTTCCCCCTTTCCTTGTTTTTGATCTGTTTTCGACCTCTCTTCACGAAGAAACCCGTTTTCGAAGTGTTTCTTAATCACGTGTTAGGGTTCTAATCAGTTTCTGACCAGCCTGCTCTGTTGATCTTTCTGCAAATGTGATTTATCAGAATCTTGGGACAATCGCGGTTCGGTTTGATTCACTCGTAAGCTTACCATTTCGTCCCAAAGCTCTCTCTGTTTTGTGAATCCGCTACTGATTCATTTCGTGAATCGCTGTAAAAGTTCAGACCCATTGTTCTTGTTTTTTTGTTCTTTTGTGCTTTTTTGGGTGTATTTTAATTAATCAAGCTTGGCGCCATTTTTTTTTTCAGGGGATCTGAGGTTGGTTACTCCTTGCTCGTATGATCTGAGGAAGTGGGCATTCTTCCTTTCTCAGGATTTTGATTAATGTTTGGTTAAATTCTTCACCTAGCGAATATATGTTTCGGAACATTAACAAAAAAAATATATATATGTTTCGGAAAAGATTTAAGATTCTTTTGTTTTTTTTTTACTAAAGAGTTGAAGAGCAAGTAGTTGCAACTGTGATTATTGTGTCGGTTTCTATATATGGGATGAGAGGGAGGTAGTTTTTCTTACTTTGTCTATGTGTTTAGGTCTTAATGATGTTTCCTGAGTTCTTGTCTTGGAGCTAGTTGGCTTGATGTGTCCCGTTTCTGAGAAATTTAGGGTAAACAAAGAGAAAGTTGAATTTTTTGTTTTCATTGCATCCGAACAATTGATCAGTTTCATCTTTGAATACGTATAGGTGGCTTCTTAACGAGGCGAATCGAATGAGATAATGGATGCCATTGTCTTCTGATGTTAATTTTGTTTCATTCCATTTTGATTTTGCAGATTAGTGTATAGCAGATTAAGCTGGAGTTTCGTTGGTAAGGATCAAGATGGATCTCGGGTCTAAGATTCTCGTCTTTTTAGCACTCTTCGTCACCGCGAAAGCAGAGGTTTACATTGTGACAATGGATGGAGATCCAATCATAAGCTACAGAGGCGGTGAAAATGGTTTCGAAGCCACTGCAATGGAATCTGATGAGAAAGTTGATGCAAAAAGGTAAACCCATTTGATGGTTACATTGGTTAGATTCTTTTTATCAATCGATTTTTCTCATACGTTCTTGGTTTGATTAGCAGGAGTTTTAAAAACTACTGCCTGATGAATAATGCAACTTGGTACTGTTTATATGTCGAGTGTTGGGTTCATATTCACAACCTGCTGCTGCTTTTACAGTGAATCGGTGATATCTTATGCAAGTCACCTCGAGAAGAAACATGACATGCTTCTCGGGATGCTCTTCCATGAAGGAACATACAGAAAGCTGTACAGTTATAAGCACCTTATAAATGGATTTGCAGCTCACATTACCCATGAACAGGTGAAATCCGACTTGAGATCATCTCTCTGCCAAATTGCTTGCTTTGATTAGATTCTCGTTTTCCTTACGCTGTTTCCTCCGTATTAGTAGGCAGAAATCCTTCGTCGTGCCCCGGATGTGAAATCAGTGGACAGAGATTGGAAAGTGAAGAAACTCACGACACATACACCAGAGTTTCTGGGACTGCCTACCGACGTTTGGCCCACGGGTGGCGGTTACGATAGGGCAGGAGAAGATGTCGTTATCGGGTTTGTTGACTCGGGGATTTACCCGCATCACCCGAGTTTCGCCTCTCGTCACACTGTACCTTATGGCCCGCTTCCCGGTTACAAAGGGAAGTGTGAAGACGATCCTCTTTCCGGGAAGAGCTTCTGCAATGGTAAGATCATAGGAGCACAGCATTTTGCTGAAGCCGCGAAAGCTGCTGGAGCGTTTAACCCAGATATCGATTATGCTTCACCAATGGATGGTGATGGACATGGAAGGTCGGTGTATTTGATAATAACTTTGTTTCATAGTTCCACATCATTTTGTTTTCTGATAATCTTTATATTAAGGTGTTTAACCTCGTCATTTTATCATGATCAAAAATTTTATCTTCACACTCGTTTCTTGGTTTATCAGTCATACAGCAGCTATAGCAGCCGGAAATAATGGTATCCCGGTGAGAATGCATGGCTATGAGTTTGGTAAAGCGAGCGGGATGGCTCCTCGTGCGAGGTTAATACATGACATAGTGTGGCTGTTCAGTGTATATGTTTGCTTCCTCGATCTTCCGGAAGCTAAATCCTAACCTGTTTTGTTCCAGGATTGCTGTTTACAAGGCTCTTTACCGATTGTTCGGTGGCTTTGTAGCTGATGTGGTTGCAGCCATTGATCAGGTAACAGAATAATTGGCATCAAGTTGGACAGATACCCGTAAATCGTTGTCATTAGTCAAAGGATCTTCAAAATTTTCTGAAGTAATGATCAGATACCCGTAAATATCATTCTTGATGTTTCTATCAATCTGATCATCTTAACAGAATGTGGTTTTATGAGCAGGCTGTTCATGACGGAGTTGATATTCTGAGTCTCTCGGTAGGTCCGAACACTCCTCCTGCAACTACAAAGACAACATTCTTAAATCCATTTGATGCTACGCTTCTTGGTGCTGTAAAAGCCGGTGTTTTTGTTGCTCAAGCTGCTGGCAATGGAGGGCCTTTCCCAAAAACTTTGGTTTCTTACAGCCCTTGGATCACTACCGTGGCGGCTGCCATTGATGACCGCAGATACAAAAACCATCTGACCCTCGGGAACGGAAAAACGCTTCCCGGAATTGGATTGACCCGTGAGTTTTGCTTTCTTCTAATTATGTATCCATTCGTGTTTATATACACGATATAGCTGTCTTTACAATGGCTTCTGTGAATCATTATGTGTTTTTACTGCAGCTTCTACTCATCCTCGTCGTTCATATGTTATGGTTTCCGCAAATGATGTTTCGGTGGATTCTTCCATGGCAAAGTACAATCCAGCAGATTGCCAGAGGCCGGAAGTCTTGAACAAGAGATTGGTCGAGGGAAACATTCTTCTTTGTGGATACTCTTTCAACTTTGTCAGTGGAACAGCTTCCGTCAAGAAGGTTGCGGAGACAGCCAAGCATCTCGGAGCTGTCGGGTTTGTTCTCGTTGTCGAGAATGTTTCCCCGGGAACGAAATTCGACCCTTTCCCCTCTCCCATTCCTGGCATCTTGATCACAGAAATCTCTAAGTCAATGGTAATAATATGATTTTTTACTTCGCTCTTTTCGTGAATTGTGCCCTCGTTCTCAACTTCTCCGTGCTTTTTCTCGACTTAGGAATTGATTGATTACTATAACGTCACGACAGCGAGGGATTGGACGGGAAGGGTAAAGAGTTTTAAAGCAATGGGAAGCATTGGAGATGGGTTGGAACCGATACTTCACAAATCAGCTCCTGAAGTGGCATTGTTCTCGGCTCGAGGACCTAACACCAAAGATTTCAGCTTTCAAGATGCCGATCTTCTCAAACCCGATATTCTTGCTCCGGGTTCTCTCATATGGGCTGCATGGTCGCCAAATGGAACAGACGAAGCAAATTACGTCGGTAAGGATACATATATATCGAAATGCAGAAGGATTTGGTAAACATCGAGCTATCATTCTCGTTAAAATGATTTGACTTACTCGGATCTTGGGCAGGCGAAGAATTTGCGATGATATCGGGAACTAGCATGGCTGCTCCACACATAGCCGGGATAGCTGCTCTTGTGAAGCAGAAGCATCCTCAGTGGAGCCCTGCTGCTATAAAATCGGCTCTGATGACAACCTCGACTATCATAGACAGAGCAGGGAGACCTTTACAAGCTCAGCAGTATTCCGAAACCGAGGTTGTGAACTTTATCAAAGCCACTCCTTTCGATTACGGAAGTGGTCATGTCAATCCACGAGCTTCACTAGATCCAGGTCTCATCTTCGAGGCAGGTACGATTCTTCTTTTCTTTTCCCAACTGTTGATTTTCCCGAGAAAATTGATAGATTACCGAGAAAGAACTGTTCTTGCTCAAAATCGAAGGGTACGAAGACTATGTCGGGTTCTTGTGCACGACGCGGGGGATCGACGAAGATGAGATCAGGAGGTACACGAACAGACCGTGCAACTACACCATGAAACATCCTTCAAACTTCAACGTTCCATCCATAGCCATTGCCCACCTGGCGAGGATCCAGACTGTAACGAGGAGAGTGACGAATGTTGCAGAAGAGGAAGAGACTTACACTGTGACAGCGACGATGGATCCTTCCATCGCCATTGAAGTAAACCCTCCTGCAATGACAATCAGAGCGGGAAACTCCAGAGAGTTCTCGGTGATTTTGACGGTGAGATCGGTGACCGGAGAATACAGTTTCGGGGAGGTGATGTTGAAAGGAAGCAGAGGGCATAAGGTTAGGATTCCGGTGGTGGCGATGGGACAGGGGCGATGAGCAGACAGGAACTGTGTCCGGTTCGGTGGAGATATATGTCTGGTTTGTGATGTTATTCTTTGTAATATGGTAAATTGGTAAATCGGTGGAGATATATGTCTGGTAAGTGTTGAGAGAGGGATGGGTTTTGTCTTTGAAAATGTTTGATCACATGATGAAGTCTTAGCAGTCTATATAATAATTAGTTTTTTAAAAAATATAATCTACCGAGAATCTTAATATAAACTACTGAGAGTTATGGAAAAAAGTATAGAATTTAGATATTAATAGTTTTTTAAACGGATTTTTTTATTGATTAGAGGTTATAACATTAAAAATAGAAATTAAAAATCTATTCTTTATAATATTGAAAATAAAAATTTAAAATTCCAAGGAAATATTCAAATGATATTATTGTTGAATCCGTTATTATTATTATTATTATTATTATTATTATTATTATTATTATTAACCACTATCTTTTACGATAACTTCAAATCTAAAAAATATAACCGGTGTCTGGTATCAAATCTAAAACCCTTAATTATTATCCTAATATTATTGGAATAAATAAACCAAAACCAAATGTAAAGCATACTAATATCTAAATTTTATGCAAACTAAAACTTTCAATAGCATTCTATATAAATGTTTCGGTTCTTTTCTAAAAGTTTCTCAAAATAATCTTTATTATTTTTGTAAAATGGGCATTAAAATGGGAAAATCACTCAAATATACGAAAGGGGTCGCAACAATTTCAACGATACACCCAAAAGTAAATTTTTTTTTCAATTCTATACCACTTTTGGGTTTAAAAAATCCGAAATAACCTTTCTTTCATATTTTTTACGACTTTATTACGACTGTTATATAACTAGTATACGACTAAAAAAAGAAGTATTTACGATCATATAACAACTAAAGATCTTGTAAACAATTAGATGTATTTTTTGCCACCTCATTTAGAATCAATTGCAACTGTATTTAGAATCAATTGCAACTGTATTTAGAATCAATTACGATATTACAATTATAATTACACTGTTTTATTAAGGGTAATATGGTTTTTTTGAAGTAAATTTAATGAGTTATATTTTTTTTGGTGTATCCGAGAAACTCCTGCGACAGGTTTGGTATATCTGAGTGATTTACCCATTAAAATATAAAAGATTTTCAAATTTAAAGAGTAATTATTTAATCAAATAAGCACCAAAAAAACAATGAAAAAAACCAGAAGAGCTGTGGAAAGGGCCTTTTGAGCCCAACGCTAAATGAAAGATTTTTAACTCATTCTTATTTACTAGGCCCACCTGCATTACAATATATGCCCATTGTTGAATTTGTCATCGAAATACCCACGCGCATGTAAAGCGCGTGATATCCACATCCCAGTAAGTCGACGAGATTGGCTGTTTTTGTCCCCACTCATGTAACGTTTTACATATTTCTTCTAGTAAGTAGCATATCTACATATATATATATATATGTGTGTGGCTCGTTGACTTGGTGAATGGTTGATATATGCAAGTCTTCTCGAAAATCGATTCAAACCTATGGATTTTCTAGTCATAAATAACGAAAACTTATATAAACAATTCGGAACAAATTTGAGCTTAATTTAATTGAAAAAGTCGTCTAATGAATATTATATGGGTTGCTTTTAAATTGACCCATATGGATGCTAAGAGAATAATACGAGAAATGGTCAATAATAACATGCACGTAAATCATACTCGGTATGCCCCCCAACATGCACATGCATATGGGACAACTTGTGAGACAGAAGAGCTCTGTTATGCTACATGCGGCAATATTATATATATATATTCTTTTATACAATATTGGAACCCAAAATAAATTAATTTCATGATCAACAACGATATATGAAAAATGCTGGTATATACGATAGTGTGTGTAATTATTTTTAGCAAAAACAATTTTACTACTCATAGGTTAATTATGCAAAAACAATCTAACGCTTAAATTTAAGGAAAATTCCCAAAAAAATTATCCAATTATGAGATAACTATCACATTCATCACGAATTTTTAAAATTTCCAAATTCATACTGGATTTGAATTTTTTGTCTAAAAAATCATTCGAAATTCCCGAAAGCCCGAAGTTTAATGAGCCTACATTTTTTAGGCCCATGTCCTTATAATTTTCGGACGGGTTCGGGCCGAGTTTCGGGCTCTGGACTTAATTGACATCCCTAGTCGCGTTGATCGTTTTTCTTACATCCCGAATCATTATATGATTGCTCGATAGTCGCTAATAAAATCCCATACCAAATATGAGTTTGAATTGGGATTTATGTTCTTGTTACCTTACACTAATATGAGATGAGTAATTGATTTTTTTTAAATGCTTAAATTAGGAGATTAGGCATGTGTGAATTTACAAGTTTGGAGTTGAATATTGAATAATAGATTCAAATAAAGGTAGAATTTTAATCTATAACGTGGAAATTCGTTTTTTTAATTTCGTAACCCTTTGGTACTTCATGCATAATATATTTAAGTCTGATAACCACAACTATTTTAAAAAGAATCAAATTAACACTGCATTAATTAACAACTCTCTCAAGAGACTTCCCCACGTATATTTATTCACTCAGCGGCTCAGCGCTTCTTCTGCTTCATCGTCCTGCCATTCGACCCTCTCTTCTCCCTCCGACCCGACCCGACCCGACCCGACTGCACGGCCAACCGGGTCGACCTGAATTCCAATGAATCGACCCAGATTCGTTATCCAACCGGAAGAAGCCGAATCCACGGCGAAGCAACTCGGCGTATCCGTCGTCGAGGTCCTCCCGTCGCTGGTGAAACCGGCGAAGTCCCTGGCTAGGCCGCCGATCTCCAAATTCCACGTCGCCGCCGTCGGACTCGGTTCCTCCGGCAGGATCTTCGTCGGCGTCAATGTCGAGTTTCCTGGTCTCCCTCTCCACCACTCCATCCACGCCGAGCAGTTCCTCGTCAACGTCGCCGTGTCAGCTGCCCCCTGCGGCCATTGCCGCCAGTTCCTCCAGGAGGTTCCCGGAGCGTCGGATATCAAAATCCTCATCACCGATCCAAGCACGTTCCCCACACGCGCCGGTGCCTGCAACGGCGACGAATTCGAGCGGCTTTCGAGTCTTCTCCCCCACAGGTTCGGCCCCGATGATCTCCTCGAGAAGGGCGTGCCTCTCCTCCTTGAGCCGCACGATAACCGCCTGACCGTTCCGGATCTCGATCGGGACGGCGAGATTTGCAACGACGGAGCGGATTCCGACCACAGATCGAAGCTGAGGCGCGTGGCCCTAGCGGCGGCGAACAGGTCGTACGCGCCGTACAGTGGGTGTCCGTCGGGAGTGGCGGTGGTGGACTGCGACGGGAGGGTTTACAGGGGATGGTACATGGAATCGGCGGCGTATAACCCTAGCATGGGTCCGGTGCAGGCGGCGATGGTGGATTACGTGGCAAACGGCGGCGGCGGAGGGTACGAGAGGATCGTCGGAGCTGTGCTCGTCGAGAAGGCGGACGCGGTGGTCCGGCAGGAGCACACGGCGAGGCTTCTCCTGCAGACGATCTGCCCCACGTGCGATTTCAAGGTTTTGCATTGCCATGACGACGTGGGTACCAAATTCTGAGAATTTGGAATGTTTTGTGTTCATAAGCATATGATTTCGCATTCGATGAAATTGCATTTCTTGAGTGATGATGATGAGACAGCACCTCCTTTGATGTGGATATAATAACATGAATGTCATTGTTTCACATGTACTTTCTCTCCCTCTGTTTCGGCGTCAATCGGTTTGGAATTACTGCTGTCTCAACTGCCTCATATGTTCTCTTCAATGTTTTGCTCCTTTAGTTGAGAAACATATTCTCCTTGATGATTATTCAGGGTTAGATTTGGAATCTGATCATATTCTCTCACAACTTATAATATGAATTAAGAAAGGGTTTTTAGATAACTAAGAAAGTTTTTTGGTTTTACAAAAAGCCAAGAAAAAGTTGATGCCTTTAGACATTTGGGTTGGTGGGAAGAATCTCTCTCTCTCTCTCCATCGAGGAGGAAAAAAAAAGGAGTGCACTTTGCAAGTTACCAACAAGCAGAGAGTCTGAGGCTGGTCCACAAAGCAACTCTCTCACTATGAGTGGTGAATATTTCACTTTGCATCCAACATTTTCCTATTTTTAGAATAGTTGAAGAACTCTGATTGATTTGACCTCCTGTAATATGGTGAGCTAATTATACAAATCCATTGGAATTCTCGCATCCAATCATGAAAGTTGAATTCTTTTTATATGCTCATTCTCTCCCCTAAACAGCCTTGGGAAAGAAAAGGAGAGGTTTTGGGCAAGTGGGTTTGCTTAAAGATCGAGACTTTAATGCACATCTTCTTTGTGCTATTCATGTCATTAGAACTAGTTCCTCTTCAAAGTTCATTGTCTGCCACTTCTTCTGTTCTGTTTCGATACTTTTCCCTTATGGGTAAAGAGCGAAAGTGCTCTTTATGTCACATAGCTTTTGACTTCTTCAACACATCAATATCTTGTGTTGTATTGATGGCAAAGACCAAGAGAATAAGAGAGAGAGAGAGAGAGAGAGAGTTACTTGCATTATGCCAATGTCGCCATTGATGGTATTGTACCATTGGAAGCTGATGCAGAAGCAAAATAAAGCGAAATTTTCAGAGAAGAAGCTCAGACGAGAAACATGTGATGAAGCTGCAGGGTTGTTTATTGCCTCTTCATCATCTTCCATGGTCCCTATACCTTACACACGTTGTGAACCAAAATAACTGGGGGGAACAAGCCAAAAACCCGACCAAAATGCCATGGAAAACATCTGTTAGCAAAAACATACAGATGGTGAGAATCAATAGAATCATCTTCACATCATAATCATGGATCACACGGCCAAAAAAATCACCAAGGTTTCATTCATCACCACGGAAGGAAAAGAACAACCACACAAATATCAAGACAAGGGAGATGATCAGCTCGATAGGTTGTGAGAGAGAGCAAGCTAATAAATAGACCGATGAAGATAACAGTTGTGTTATATACCAGTGAAATCGTAGAAAACGTTCTATAGAACACCAACTTGTTTGCTATATACCAGTGAATCAGGCAGGCAGCACATCAAGACAAAGAAATACTCTGATGATAGTCTTTGATAAGCTCGCATATCAGATTCACTGGTTGGTCGGTTTGTCTGGAGCCAAAGCCTCACCACGATACACCCTCCAAGGTCCTCGATAGAATATAGGCTTCATCAAAGGCACTGTCTCACCCGGATGATGTTCCCAATATTTCTCCTGTTGATTTCATGACAAATTTGAATAAGATAAGTTTCGAGTAAAACCAGAACAATAAGCATCTCGTTGCATTTCTCGTATTGATTTCTAGATGACGAAACATAACAATGCACCAAGACAGACGATGATATTGATGGCATACATGGAAAAATTGAGATGGCTGTGACTCGTGAAGATACATCAGATGCAAAAGACCTTTGCTAGAAAGCAGTCAAGGGCGTTACACCTATTCATGAACTTGATAAACAAACCTTGGAGCGAAATTTCTGGGTAAATTTTGTTATTGCACATTACAATTCATCTTCTTTCTCAAACCACGCCAGTAACAACGTAAGGAGTTCTTGCTCAAATCTTTCAGGAAAATAGCACTGGTTTTTGCAGCTTATATGCAATCAGAATATACAGACAAGACAACACTAACTACATGATAAATCATGGACCAAAAATGACAGAAATGTTCAAAAAGAAGAGGAAGATCCAATGCAGAACCAGCACAGTTTCCAGTAACTTAGAACTCCCAACAAGATTTGAAGAACAAAGCTGAATCTGCCAAATCCATATCCAGTGATAAACAATCCCTAAACTCACAATCTTATAATAATTAGAAGAAAAGAAACTCTACTTCACTAATCTCAAGGACTGACAGTAACTGAGTGCGAACCCTAACGGTACCAATCACAAAAACCCAAATCGGATCATTTCAATTCAATCAGATAAGAACCCCAAAATCTAACGATGATTTCGAGCTAAAACAACGGCACTAAAACAAAAAAAAAAAATCACCTTGTAGAGCTCCTCAGTAATGGCGGCGCCGATAACGCCGGTGTAAAAAGCGGCGACGTAAAGAGTGACGAGAGTAGTGAAGGTCTTGGGTCGGCGATAAGGTTCGATCATGTCCCAGAGATGAGTCCTCTCCCACTTATTATACTTGTAATCAGCATATTTCCTCCATATATAGCTCCACATTTTTCCGGATTCCTCTGAGATTTTCCTGGTCTCTCTTCCTCGATCGCCGACGGGGTTCTGATTACGCGCCGAGAAATCTTCCGCCTTTTGGTTACTTGTTCGCGGCGGCGCGTGTGGAAGCTCGAAACATGCAAATAAATAGACGTGGAGCGTTATCTAAAAAAAAAGACCACAAATTCCTGTAATGTTTCGGTTTGTGCACCAAACTTTTACTTGACACATTTTAACCCCCATAAGCGTAATAATTTTCCCGAGACATATAGTCCTTGCGTGACAATTTGTTTGAAGAAAACATCAAACACAAGACTTTACATTGCGAATCAAGTACTTAAGAATATAAAAAAAAAAAAAAACTCAAATGGTTTGATCATGATTTATATAAAGTATTTGTCAATCTCATTTTTATGATCTTCTCGTTTACTTATTTTTGAGCTATGGAGTGTCATATACATATCCTCTCGGAACAAGAAAGGAGCTAAAGAATCATGACAAGCTCCAAAAATGAACTCCACGCCAAAAGGAAGAAGAAGAAGATATACAGATTACAGAGTGTTTTGAAGAATCAAAAAGACAATCACTTAAACTAAGATCAAGCCGGTTTGGGTGAGTTGGATTGTGCAGACAAAGATTCAAGAGTTAACCCTCCAGTTCGGTCTGCCGGGGCAATGCTGCAACGTTCAGTGCTGTGCAGTTCGATGGCATCTTTTATTTTCTGAAACTGTTAAAGACAGAATGGAAAATTCAGAGAACAGGAAGTTTAGTTCTTGCAGTTGAAGGCTTATCCAATATGGAAAGCAAGCCATGAACAAAACATCTAAAGACTGAAGATTATAAGTTTCGATCTCCTATAAGTTCATCAGAACCGATCTCATTTTGGTTTCCCACATCACAAATCGATATAGAGACCGATGTTTCTGAAAATTCTCGGATCCAATCACGAGAAGAACCCTAACCGGGAAAAAAGGGAAGAAACCGAAGAGAGGAAAAAAAAGGGGGTATAAGCAGTTCACCTTAGCAAGAGAGCAGGAGAAGGATTCAAGCTGACCATCGGCTCCACGGTAGAAGTGGAAACGAGGAAGGACCTTCACCATCAAACTTTTGCACATCGGCTTGTTCTCGTCGAAATTGACTTTAAGGAACAAAACATCTGGACGCTCCTTGGCTGTCCTGCAAAGCTGAAAGATTTACACAGAGACACAAACATCATCCACCTTGATGTCATTACCTCGACACACTGTCACAGAGGTAACGATGGGAAGAACGGGACAATAACCTTAGGGAATAATGCTCGGCAAGAAGCACACCATGTCCCGTAAAACTCTACAATGACTAATCTATCGCCTGCTTGGCTTAAAGCCCTCAAGAATTCTTCTGTGGAATGAATGTCAATCATGTTTGGTCCTGCATTTCTCTCCCACCATTTCGGTTGCTCTTTCTCGGCTATAGCTGCATTCACCTAAACGAGAAAGTAACACAGCTGAAACTTTGAATATGAAAATGTTTCTTGTGGAAAGTATTCACGATCTCAATCTTGTATTCTCATTCCAACATCGATAACTTGGAAGTTAGACATGTGAGACAGATGAATTGACATTTTTGAGCATGGATTGCTCAAGAACATATTGACAGAGAGAGCAATATGAATTTTGAAATTCTAGAACCACAAGGCCAACTAAAGAACATGACTTGCTCTACTCAAGCTGCTACTAACTTGTCCTAAACCAGACACTGTAGCTCTTATGCCACGCAAACAGACAAATCACCGTTCCGCAAAGTAGCATGAGAAAGCTTGGAGCTTTGTAGCAAACGAGCCCCAATTCTCACGTTTCGGAACCCAATTTAGCACGGGGGGACATCCCTTTCACAGGAAAAACTCAAATCAAAAGCGAGATGAAATCGAGATCTCCAAATTGGCTCAGGAAATTCCCCGAACTATTCAATCGGCTCAAAAGGGTAAGCGGGATTTCTCCGGAATCTGAAAACTCAGCTCTTAAAGACAAGAGATTTACCTTGAAGCGGTGAAGATGGTTCCTGGGTCGGGAAAAGACACAACTTCCAAGACCAAAGGAGGAAAGAGAAGACGATGAAGATGACGCAGAGGAGGAGAGAAGACGCGATCTCTTGTCGGAATTCAGATTGAGAGGCAAAGAAGGTTGAAGAGAGTTGAGAGCGTTGGCGAAGGAGACGGGGAAGGACGAGACGCTAAGGGCCTGAAGCGATGTCGTCGAAATTCGCGCAACTTCTGCCATAGAAATCGTCAGACTTCCCGAGAGAGAGAGAGAGAGATTCTTTGCTTTTTTCCCTTCTCTGAGAAATCCCACAGAGCAAGATTCCTCCAGAAAGATCAGACGATGCCGGGGATTTTTCTGTGAGCCAGCGGCAGCTATATATACATACACACACACACATATATATATAGAGAGAGAGAGAGAGAGACGCATTTGTCCAACAATGGCGTTCCCGCCGCCACCGTCCAGTTCTGCGTTTTTTCTCAGCGTTAACGTTTACATTAGCCGTCAAACACGTTTCCCGTTTTGATACTTCCTCGTGTTCCAAACAGAAAACCAAACATTTTGAGTTCAGATTTCCAAACCCAACACATGAAAATAACGTGTCCAAACGGGTTATAATATGATTGATTGTATGAATATTATATGAATTGGAATTTAAAGCTTGTAATTGTGATTAGTAGAAATGGGTAAAAACAGTTTTAATTCCTTTGAAATAAACTAGCTTTCACGGTCATGAAAGTATCTGATATTATTTCTTTTTTCCTACGTAATGTTTTCTGAAAATTCAAATTGTGTATGTGCGTGCGTATGTATGTATGTATGTATGTATGTATGTATGTATGTATGTATGTATGTACGTATTCTTTTTTCCTACGTAATGTTTTCTGAAAATTCAAATTGTGTATGTGCGTGCGTATGTATGTATGTATGTATGTATGTATGTATGTATGTATGTATGTATGTATGTATGTATGTATGTATGTATGTATGTATGTATGTATGTACGTATGTATGTATGTATGTATGTATGTATGTATGTATGTATGTATGTATGTATGTATGTATGACTATCTCGACTAAAAACTTTCTATCTATAAATAAATATTGCATATATACGTTTGATTAGCGGACAGTGATTAATTATTAATTAATCACAAAAATATGATTTGTTATATTTAGGCAAATGGACTTTGAAATCTCAATCCGTTTAGGGACTTTAAGCCTGTTAATGGGCTTTATCTTTAATGGCCCAATTAGTTCAAAAAGATGTATTAGGGTTTTTTTTATATCCAAAAAAATTCTTAGTAATTTTTTTTCCTCTTATTTGTATTTGAAAAATTCGTTCGGCTCAATTCTAGAACATTTTTTTCTTATACTAGTACTATCATAAAATACAGAAAGAAATACAAAATATTATTTAATCCAATTTTATTTGGTTTATATCTAAATACGAAAATAATAAAATAGGAGATGCAGAAGATATTCATTTAAATCAATAAACTTCATCAGGGACTGGTGGTTACAATTTCTCTAAGCAAATGAATCATGTGTCATATAGTTCGTGAATCGGACAATAATCACAAGGTAGTGGAGGTTAAGGTAGAAGCAGCTATTTTTTAAATTTTTTAATTTTTTAAAAAATATTTATTCATGGGAAATTATTGTATAAAAGATGGGAATAGAGTGATAATGATTGAAAACATTACATAAAAGCTATTTAGGTATGTACCTTGAGGTCATTGGCTTTAATCAACGCATGTCATTTCGTCCCTTTAAATGATTCGGCAACATTATGTCATGTGTCACATTACCATTGATACCCAAAAAAAAAGGGTTGGATACTATTTGTTTCCCAACAAAAGAAATAGACAAATCAAATTATTTTTTCTTTTTCTTTTTTCAGTGACAAATTGGCATGGAGAAAATGTATAAAAGCATCACGAAGAATTATTTAACTAGCTATATTTTTTTTTTCAATTTAAAAATTCACCTTATATGGTTTGGAGTCAGTTTTTGTATCACAATTAAATTATGCATCTTTTCTTCAACGGTCACTCGAATCGAACATGAGATTTTGGGAGACGGACATCTAGAAACCACTCGACTGATTTCGATGGGATTGGATTGAATAAGTTTCACAAGGTAGATATTTAAATGTGTAAATATATAATCATATTAAATAATATACATACTTATATTTGGATCAAATCTGATTTAAAAGAATTGGTTACGACTTTATTAAATTCAAATTTACCAAATTCAAATTAAATATAAAAATAATTTTAAAAATTCAAATAAAACCAAGAATATTTTTTAAAAAATGAGTACTTTTAATAAAACATGATCTGAATCAATCTAAAAACTGAATATAAAAATTAAGTAAAAATAACTTTTACAAAATAAAAAAACTGTATCCAAGAAACCCAACTTAAACATAAATGAGATCATATCAGCGAATGAAAGTGTATGCACCAAATATCGAAATAAAAAAGAAAATAAGTACGTTAATTTGCAAAGCATGTCATCATGTAAAAGTTATATTTATTAGAATTTATATTTATAAACCAAAATTACCGTAGATCAGATTTTGCAATTTCATGATCGGTTATCCCCGCGATATTCGCCATGATTATAGAAGTACCTTTTTATATTTTTGAAATTATGAAATTAACCATATTTTTTCTTAAAAATTATAAAATAGTATTATTTTTTTATAATCTGGAAGTTCACCGAATCTTTGACTCGACTATATCTTTCAGAGGATTGAAGAAGCTCGTGTGAATACTTTTCCTAACTGAGTACTCGAACCCGGAAAAATACCACTATTATTTATAAAAACAAAATACGAAATTAATATTAATTACTTTTACAGAATTCGTGTTAAGATGTCCGAATTTTTTTGGTATCCAATATATGAAGATCCATGATTTCAAATCTTAATATTGAAGACATCCGAACAGGATCTAGACATCCAAAATTTTCAGATATGAAGCATCAAATTAAGCCAAGTGTAGGACCGTAAGCAATTAAAGTTATTAAACGCAAAAAAGGGGACAAAATCCCAGAAGATAGCATCGTTTTTTAACTTTAGTGAAGGGACACACAAAATCCATAAAAAGACATGTTCATCACATTGGAAAATCCCCTACCAAAGATGGATAAACCATGAACCCTATTTCTATAACCCGATTCCTCCATACACTATTTCTTCTTCTTTTTTTAAATAATTAATCTTTTTTTTTAAATAGATGCTGTAAAATGGGTTATGTTTTTAAAAGATGAAGGGCTCGACTCTCGTTGCATACTTTATAAAGGAAAAGAATGTTAGATGCCATTAGGATAATGTACTTAATTCACAAAAACAACAACAAACAAAAAATGAATTCTTTAAACTTTTTTTTTTGTTAAGGTGATTTGTATTAATCTGACAAAAAATTACAACCAGTTAAAACTGAATACAAAAGATATATGAACTCATGAGCAAGTGGACAAAAGATATATGAACCCATGAATTCTTTAAACTTGGTTTGAATCCTCTTGATTTCCTAATTATGGACAACTTAAGTTGGTTTACATCTCTCCTGTGGTTTGCAGGCTAATACACGAGAACGGAAGTTTATCCAGTGCACATCCGAAAGATAGTGTATGCGGATTAACACGTTATAAAAAAAATAAATTAAAATAACAAACAAAAAAGAAACTTAATGTTAAAAGAATATGGAGAGCATATTGTGATTATTAATTGTGTCATTAGCGAAATTCCTAAAGCTGATATATATCATCGTACGATTCTCTCGTACCATCATTGACCTTCACATGGGGTGTTTTCGAATAATATATGTGTTGATTAGAGTCTAAATTAATTTCATCTATGATTTATTCACCTCTTAATTAGATATTAACACGAACAGGAGAAAAAAATGAAAAAGAAAAAAACATGAGAATGATTAAGAAAGGAAAAAAAAAGGAAAAAAATATGATAAAGTGTGATTTGTTCAGTAAAGCAGGGACACATAAGCAAAGACATAAAAAGCAAAACCTTTTTTCTTTTATGTATGGATGGTGGGGGTATTATATGATGTGGGTTCATAATAATTTTCAAAAGTATTAATGATTTGCATGATGTGGTTTATTCTAATTTGTATTTAACTATGCGACATTATTGTTATTGTTATTAATTACATTATATATGCATGGAATTGGTGGACACTAATAACTTTAGATTTAGTTCAACTAAAGGTTAAGGGATTTAAAGCGGTCCAATCTTTTTCAAACGTACGTTATTAATAAGCCAAATATTTTATGTTTTAACCTATCTTTTTTTATTTATAACTAGGATGGTTTCCCGACCTTCGGCCCGACTATATCTACCCTAGATTCGGGACCAACCTTTGTATATACATGGACCATTTTGGTCCAGAAATTACATTTCTCTCCACCAATGGAATCGAACCCAGACATTTGGACCATTTAAACATATCTTATATATATATATAATTTTAATTAGTTTATTTTTTGTTCCAAGGCCTTAGTGTCATCAACTCAAAACGTTGCCATCAAATTGGTCAAAAAGCTCAGGCAAATCTTACTATTAGATCATGAGATTATTACGGTCGAATTATTGCCGTTTATCTATATTTCAATTATCCATAAAAACACTGTCGATGTTCGACAACAACAAAACAAAAGTTGACGCTGCATGCATGCATGCATACATACATACATACATACATACGTACATACATATATACATACATGCATGCATGCATGAAGCCTGTGTTTAATGGCAACAAAATCATGTATATTCTTTTCTAAATGAATATTTAGAAGTTAAATTGATTACGTACATGTATATATATAGTACATTTATAGTAGTTTAGGACAAAAAAATCTAAAATTGTTAATTTCTTTGTTGTGCTATGTTAACCAAATGGTAGAAACCCACATGCAGCAAATTTGTTTCGTTTCTTATTTATTAATTATTTCGTTTATTATTTTTATATTTAAAAAGGCAGCCACCGGACCATTCATGTCCAACTCTCTCTATGATTTCACCGTACAAACAAACAAGAAACATTTTGTAATTTGTCTTTAAATAGTAATAATAATAATAAATTGTATAAATTACATACTGAATCTGGGCTTGTTCCACTTGGAAAACCAGATCTTCTTGGTAATTAATCATGTTTGGGGGCTGTGATATGATTTGATGGGGAAATTATTGATTATGATGACTGTTGGGAGCTAATATGATTATATATCAATTACTCAACATTTATTCGAATATATATCATTGTTATCAATTACTAAAATTTATTTGAATATATATATATATATATATATATATATATAACAATGAACTGTATCTAATTAATTAAGATGGATTGTCGGAACATTTTTTTCACTTAAACCCTAATGAACTGTATGATGTAATTCCAATATCGAATATGTTGGTCCTACTGAAACATAAATGGCAACATTCGGATAATATCATCGGATTTATAATTAGACTCATAAAAACAATTACAAATGATACTTGTCATTAACATAATTTTTATCCACCACACAAAAAAAAAAAATCACGGACACAATCTCCCGTTTAATGGCGAAATTTGTGTCTCTTTGCGTTGTATGTTTTTTTAGCGGTGATCATGGATAAAAAAAAACATTGTGAAACATGTGTTGAAGTGACTGTGGATTTATTTTATGGACAAAGTTATATCGTTATCGTATGTGTATTTGGCACCAAGTGGGTTGTCTGAAATATGAATGCCATCGCCATGCGTATGTATATGCAACGCACACACCCAAATATGTATATATATATATATATATATATATATATATATGTATATACATATATTAACACACAACATTATACAGATAGGGGTACACTATTATATATACAGAGACATGGATATAGATATAGGAGAGGCATCCTAAGCTTTTTCTTTGTTAATTTCATATGAAACCCACGCGTTTTATATTGCTACGACATCCACAAGCAAAAAATAAAAAAATAAAAAAATAAAAAAATAAAAAAATAAAAGGTTGAAGAAGAAACAGAAATGCTAAAGGATGATCTATCCGTATCTCTCCCCATTCATCTTTCCTCTTTCTCTGTCCCCTCTCGTTGATAAATCATTTTCACAAAAAAGAAAAGAAATATTTTTTTAGATTATTAAATGGTTGTGATTTAGAAAGCTGAAAGAAACCCAAAAATTTTAAAACAATATTTTTTTTTTAAAACTAAGCTTTCTAAAAATCGTCGAGCCAATTCTTGGATTAGCAACTGGTACATTTGTAATGCTCAAGAAGCCTATTTGCTTCTCTAAGACCGCTGCAATAAGCCCCATGAGTTGTGGAGTAATGGGTTCTATGCGTTGCTTCCCCTGCAAACAGAATCTGGAGCTTATGAACCCTAGCTCGCTCTGAATCCGAATTGCCTTCACCGGCCTTTTCGATCTTTGGCAGTGGCTCGGCCATGGAGTCCAGATCATCCCCGCTTGATCCGACCGCAACATATGAGTATGAACCTAGAAACAGAGGATCACTCCCCCATGCGCTCTTCAGGACCCTAGTGAATTTCGCATTGGCATTTCCATTGCACAAAGAACCCAGCTTTTTCGATGTGTTTCTCTTGGCTTCCTTGCCTGTCAAGCAAGTGATTGCAGTCGAAACACCGTTGATGATTTCTTCGTCTGTTAGTTTCTCGAGCTCGAGTGCTTCCTTGCCTGCAAACCATGAGAGCAAAACCTTGGAATTGCTGTGGATTGGAGATATGGTGGCTGTTCTTCTCATCCACCATGGGATTTTCTTGAACCTGAACTCTGAATCTGCACGGTCGAACACCAGTTGCAGAGAAGGGAAATCTCTTTGCATCATTTCGATGAACAGTTTGTTGACAACCCCAAAGCCGAGCCTTTTGATGGCCTCGACCTTGAAATCGGGCAAAGGAGGACTGAACATGCCTTGTTCACACGAAACACCGGCTTTAAGCACACCCAAAGAGACAGTGACTATGACATGATCGGCCACAAGAACCGACCCATCGGAGAAATACAGTTTAACGGGTCGATGATCATCGAATCCATTCCCCACGATGGTTTTTGAATCGTCAGATGCCACCTCGCCAGTCTGCCAGTCGATCTTGGTGACTTGCCGGTTCAACTGGATCAGACCCTGAGGAAGAACAGAGGCCAAATGATTGATTACACTGAGATAGCCTTTGGCAATGGTGATTTCTTCACCAGGAAACATCTGGTATTCGCTTTCTGCTGCGAAATCGAGAGTACAGAGATCATCCGCAGAGGCGTCAGTTCTCTGCGTGTTGCTAAACATGGCGAAAATGGCTTCTTGGAGTGACTTTCTGCTCCAATTCCCATACCCTTTGACCTCTTCTCTGTTTCCCAGAGCATCCCAGTAAGCATCGAACCCTGATTTCAAGAAAGACCCAACACTCCTCACACTTCCATTACGAGAAGAACAAACCCTAGTGGCAACAATATCGTAAACATCAGCTCCACATCCCAAATCGCCGTCGTCTTCAACAATCTCCCTCCCCTGAACTAAACCCATCAAAGCCTTGAACAAACCCGAGATGGGTTCTAGAATCGAGGGCTCGAGCTCGAATCCACCTTCTGCGAAGGTCCTGGGCTTATCAATGGTGGAATCCATATCCTCCCACGGCTCGTCGGAGACCAGGGACCCGGTATCGCGGGCGATTCTGTAGACAGGGCTCCCGCCCATCCCCTGGATCCAC